TGAGCAAACTGGGAGTATGGGGGGAGGGTAGAGGGAGTTGGAAGAAAGAGAAGGGGAGAAAAAGAGGGGAGAGGAGGACATGAAGGAGCAGGAAGATTGAGTCGAGTCAGGGGAAGAATAGAGGGGAGCAAGAAAAGAGATGCCATAATAGAGGGAGCAATGATAGGTTTAAAGAGAAATCTGGCACTAGGGAAACATCCAAAAATCTACAAGGATGACACCAACTAACAATCTAAGCAATAGTGGAGAAACTACCTTAAAAGCCCTTCCCTGATAATGAGATTGATGACTACCTTATATGCCATCCTAGAGCCTTCATCCAGTAGCTGATGGAAGCAGAAGCAGACACCCACAGCTAAACACTGAACAGAACTTCTGGAACCCAGTTGCAGAGAGGGAGGAGTGATGAACAAAGGGGTCAAGACCAGGCTGGAGAAACCCACAGTAACAGCTGATCTGAACAAGGGGGAGCTCATGGACCCCAGACTGATAGCTGGGAAACCAGCATAGGACTGATCCAGATCCCCCTGAACATGGATGTCAGTGAGGAGTCCTTGGCAATCTATGAGGCCTCTGGTAGTGGATCACTATTTATCGCTAGCATACAAATGGACTTTGGGAGTCCCTTCCACATAGAGGGATACTCTCTCAGCCTGGACACACGGGGGGAGGGCATAGGCCCTGCTCCAAATGATATGACAGACTTTGAAGATCCCCATGGAAGGCCTCACCCTCCCTGGGGAGCAGAAAGGGGATGGGATAGGGGGTTGGTGAGGGGCAGGGGTGGAGGGGAGGGAGAGGGTGCTGGGGTTGACATGTAAAACAGGCTTGTTTCTAACTTAAATAGAAAAGTTAAATTGTCAGTTATTGGTCACATCATTAGCATTTTAAATGGATTTAAACAGGATTTGTGTGTGTGCAAATTTGTGTGTACCTGTATGTGCATGTATGTTGTACCTGCATATAAAGGCCAGAGGTTGCTATTAGATGCCTTCCTCTTTTCTGATATAGGTGGTCTCACTGTGCCTGGGGCTTGCCAGTTTGCTAGATTTGCTGCCCAGCAACTCTGCAGGATCCTCCTGCTTTCAGAGGTCTCCTGGGTACTGGGGTTATAGAGGTCTCCTGGGTACTGGGGTTATAGAGGTCTCCTGGGTACTGGGGTTATAGGTACATCCTGCTGCACCATGCTTTTCTCATGGGTACCGGGACCAAACGTAGGTCCTCACATTTGCACAGGAGCCGCCTTACTCATTGAACCACGTCCCTAGCCCCTCTCTCTAACTCTGCCTAGTGACATTGCCTGTATAGGCCAAGTTAACCTCTGTGCCAGTTTTTACTTCCTTAGGGGTCTAGTGCACTATGTAGACCAGGGAAGTCCCCAGCTCGTGATCCTCCTGCCTCATGCTGGCTCTGAAAAGATGGAGACCACTTTTCTGTGTCAGATCTCCATCTTTAGAGGGCTCCAGGGCATGGGGGTCTTTACAGGACACTGGGGGTTACAGTGAAATGATGGCTGTGAATTCCCAGGCTTAGTAGAGACCGTATCTTCACAGCGCTGTCTTCTCTTCTTGTTGAAAGCAAGGTCCCAGGTGTCCCCACTTATTTAAAAATTAATTCATACAGAGAACCGTGATGATGATCACTCCTAGGTAATGAACTGGGGGGAAGCAAAGCAAACAACTAGTTTTGCCTCCCAGTCTTTCCCCTGAAGCCCCCAGCTCTTCCTCTCACAGTCCATGAAATAGCCAGCACTGGTTTCTGTTCTAGACGTCGTTCTGGCCTTCACATTTACAGGATGGACATGGTTTCCGCCTATGCAGCTGCATCCCCACTGTCAATCCTTCACTCCAATTCTTATGTTGTGGATCACCGGCCTATGCTGACCCCGGGGGTGTAGGAATGGAAAATCTTAACAAGATGGGGTATGTGCAGGTTCAGGCAGGATTATCACAGCGGAATTTGATTCCTGCAACTAGTTAATTGAAACCCGAGGGACTGTTTCTCGTCACTAAAATAATCATGGAAAGAAGAGAGCCAAGCAAAACACAGAGAAGAGGCACAAGAGGAGTTCTAACTGGACACTGCTGTACTTGATCTTTGCATGTGTGTGCACATTCATGTTCAGGCATGTTGTATATTCATGTGTGTGCAGGGATTGTGCGTATGTGTGCAGACTCATGTATGTGTACACAAGTGGAGACCAGAAGACAACTTTGAGTGTTGCCCTTGGGAAGGCTTTCTGTCCCCTTTGCAACACAGTCTCTACCATTAGGGTAGACTGTCTGAGCTGCAAGCTCTGGTGTCCCCATCTCTTAATTCTACCTCCCCAGTGTTGGGATCACAAGCGTTCAACACCATGCCTAGAATTCTCATACCCATATGAGATGGATGGAATGGATGGATTCCCATGTAGGGATGGAATGCAGGCCCTCAAACTTGCAAGACAAGTGCTTACTGACTAGGCCATCCCACCAAGACCAGTTTTAATATTTCTTACAGGCCTAGTCTAGTGGTAATGAATGCTTTGGATTTTATTTATCTGGAATGTCACTTCCGGGTGACAGTTTTGTTAGATACAGATTTTTAAGGCACTTGAAATCTGTCATCGCACTACCTTCTAGATTATAAGACTTTTGTTAAGTAATGTGCAGGATTCCTTGTATGTTATTTATCATCTGTATTGAATATGCATAGACTTTTTGGTGTGTGTGTATGTGTGTGTGTGTGCACATGTGTGCGTGTATGTGCATGAGTGTGTGCAAGGTAGCTCCCAGCATGGGATGAGATCTCATCATTACACACATCCTCTGCATCACCCATTGCCACTTGCTTTCTTCTTCATTTACTTATTTGATATTTTCATACGGATGTATAATGTACTTTGTCATTTTCAGCCTTATTATTCTCTCTCTCCCTCCTTCTACTCTCCCTGAATCCCTTTTCCAAGGCAGGTCCCCTCCTACTTTTCATGACTTTTTATCATGGCTTTGCTTTTGTGTGTGTGTGTGTGTGGCTCTCTAAGTTTAACTAGGACTGCATGCATAAACATAGATGTGTTTATTTACTGGAATGTGGGTAAGTTGCCACTGGTTATATCACTGAAGAAAATTACTTCCACTCCCCCCAGCACCCACTAAATGCCAGTACCTCACAAGCCCATCTCCCATCCGTGTTGGAATGTTAATGGGCCCATCTTGTTCACATCTGTGCAGGTAACACAGCTGCTGTAATCATGAGTCTGGTTTTCTTGATGATAGATAGTCTGACTGGAATGAAACGGAATCTCAAAGCATATTTAATGTACATTTTCTTGATTGCTAAGATGTTGCTGTTGTTTTAATAAGCTTTTGACTGTATGTATTCTCTTGTTATTGTTTTGATTCTTTGAGAATTTCATGCAATACATTTTGGGCATATTCTTTCTCCTCCTTCAACTCCTCCTAGACCCTCCTCCACCTCCTACCCATTCACCTTCATGTTCTTTCTCTTGAAAAATAAGAACAAAGCCCACAAAAAATGTGGACTCCATTTTGTGTTGGCTAACTCCTCCTGATGATGGGACCTGTCCTGGAGTGTGGTTGATGTGCCCAGTGTCACTCCATCAGGTAACTTTCTATGCTCCCGGCAGCTGTCAGTTGAGAAAAGCGTTTTGGTTAGAGGTGGGACTTTGCACACTGCTTCCGGCCTCTGGGCTGGCTTGAGCCTGTGTAGGTCTTTGCACTCTGCCAGTCTCTGGGGATTCGTATGTGCACCTGCCCTGTTGTGTGTGGGAAACAGCTTCCTTGAAGTCATCCGCTACCCCTGGCTCTTACAGTCTCTCCGCCCCCTCTTCCACATAATCCCTGAGGCCTGAGGGGAGGGAGTGATGAAGACATCCCTTTTGGGACTGATGCACCATGATCCCTCACCCTCTGCACATCGTCTAGTTGCAGGTTTCTGTGTTCATAGCCATCTGCTGCAAAAAGAAGCTTCTCGGGTGAGGGTTAAGCTATGCTCTAATCTATGGGTGTAGTACTATGTCATTAGGGGCCATTTTATTGCTACATTTAACAAAATAATATAAGCAGGTTTTACCCTAGGTCTATGACCTGTCTAGTCTCAGGTTCTTGGTCTCATTAACAGTGTCAAGGGCCATCTCATGGAACAGGCTTTAGTCTAATAGAAAAGTGGTTGGTTACTCTCCTAATATCCATGCCACTATTAGACCAATGAGCATATTTTGCAGACAGGTCAGTGTTGTGGCTTGCAGGATTTTTGGATACAACTTTCCTTTTGAATTGAACTGCTTGTTCAATTAATTTGCTGATATATTGTTTGGATGATTTGATTACTTTTAGTATTTAGTTTTGAAGTTCCTTATAAATTCTAGATCAGAATCTTAGAGGGGAAATTAAAGATGGATAGAAGGACAGGAAGGCTGGGAGGATGTGGATTCCTTGGCAAAGGGCTGTCCTTGAAAGGGTGAGGACGTGAGTATGATCCTCAGAACCCACGAGGAAAAGTTGAATATGGTGGAACAGGCTTGTAATTCTAGCACTTGGAAGGCAGAGACAAGTGATCCCTGAGACTTGCTAACTAGTCTACTGGAAAATTCCAGGCCAGCGAGGGACCCTGCTATAAAACTGAAGGTTCCTCTGACTTTCACATATGTGTGTCTTCATAAGCATGTACAGACACATACACATAAATATATTATACATATCACAATGTATAATATATAAATAATATATAAAAGAAAAATATATAGTATAGCTATTGATATTATATATAATATATTATATATAATTATATAGAATATATAATATAAATGCACACACATATGGGATGGATCATTTTGAAACTAAACCCAGTTATTGAATCAGCCTTCTAATTTTTCTCACCATCAACATAAACATTCTGGCCCTGATCAGCAGCGCCTAAGGCACTTACCATATGACTTAAGTGTAACACAAGGCAGTGGTAGGTATCTGACAGCTAGCCTGGCATTTGAATATACTCACCTATGTTCCTAGAGTAAGAGTGGTTAATCTAGCTTGACACCCTCTTCTGGGCACCGAATCTTGATATCGTGGCCGGGTCCGTCTCTGATGTCACTCAGCCCCAGGGTTCCGTGAGCCTCTGTTTCCATGCCGCTGTGATTCTGTGTTCCAAACCACAGAAAAGTCATTTACAGAGACATTTACAGGCAGCTGCCCTGCCCTGCCTTGAGCCTCCTAGAGCCTCCTTGGCCACAGTTACAGGCTGGGCGGAATGGGCGGCTTAATGAGGAAGATGAACCTGAGAACTGGCGGAGACCCCTCATTCCTGCGGAAGGCCCTGGTGAACAACGCCGGAGAGGAGAAGAGAACCAAGCTTCACATTCAGAAGCTACAGAAGGTGCTGAACCTCCGCTTTAGGGAGATTGAAAAAGAGAAAACAGCACTGAAGAAGTTTTTGGTGAAGCTTCACAAGACAACTGGCTATTTTCCTCAAAGGGAATTATGGTGACAGTTGCCACTGCAGGGGCAGGATTCATCTAAATCCAAAACCATCGAGTCTTGGCTGTCTCCATATAACCACAGAAAGCAGTAAAAAAGCAACAAGAAGCCAAAAATAAGACTTTAACTGAGGACATGAATGGGGTGTCTTCAAAAGAATCAACTGATCTCTCCCACAAAAGAGAATAAGCATTGACTTTTCCCGGTGATGCCGTTTCTTTACAGCTCAAAGTGGTAACACGCAATTTGCGCATTATTTTTTTTACAAGCTTTCCTTGAGGCAAAAATAAAGCTGAGCTATTTTTAGTTCTTTCTGGTGCTTATTATAACATACATGTTATATTTGCCTGGTTCCTGTTCTTTTCGCATTTGACATCATTTTAATGATGTTCCTATAGGTTCAGTAATGGGACTAAGTAACAGCTGATGCCAAAATTAAGATGAAAATAACACAGTAGTGGGAAAAGATGTGACTGTGTGTAAGGCGAATCAGTTCAAATCTAGATTGGCGTGTGTTGCCCATGTGACGCTGTACTCAGAAACTGCTTTATTCAAGATGAAGATGGCAAAGACTTGATGACTTTCCTGCTGCAGACATTCCTTTCCTTTGGTTACAGCTCTTCCTGCAGTCACTGCCTTTTTCACTATTATTCCTGTCACTGTAGCTGAGCCAGGGTCCGTTCCTCCCTCTTTTGCTCTCACTATCTTAGCAAGTCCTCATCCAGTTTGTTTCTCCAAGGCTGTAACGTGAGTCCGGAGCAAATAACTTCCAAGCTTTAAGTTCTTTGGAACTAAGGATCCATGGCTTTATTTTTCAAATGGTTTTGCAGAATACAGGACAGTCAGAATCCATACAAGGTAAATATTCAGGGCTTGGACATACATTTGCATGGAGCATGGCTGTCTCCCACCTTCTTGTGGTACAGCCTCGGCAGCCTCTCTTCATGTGGTTTGCCAAGCGAGCATAAACCAGCCTTCAAAAACCCAGACTGAGCTAGCTGCAGGTCTTACTTGTTTAGCTTCTTCTGTCAAATAGATCTGGAGTCCTGATCAAATTGTGCAAAAAATTTCCATTTGATAAGAGAGGCAAGTTGCCTAATAGATATTTATCAAACATATATATACATTATATATATTAACTTAGACTTTCTAACTGTGAACTGGGAATAATTGTGTGTGTGTGTATGTGTGTGTGTGTGTATGTATGTATGAGTGAAAGACCCCTACCCAGGACCCCCTAGAAAAAGAAAAGCAAGGCCAGGCCGTTGCCTAATGAAAGAAACCCAGACCAGGTGCCTCGCCCAGCTGGCAGGATGTCAAACAGGATCTGTGGTCACCAGAGCAGTCATGGGACCCGGATAATAATTGCTGAAGCGTTCCAGGGTCTTTTATGTGGCAATACCAGGACACCTAGTCCTTGGCAACTACCCATGCCCCCAGTTGTGTCTATGATCACCATAGTAGTCATGGGACCAGGATAATAATTGCTGAAGCGTGCCAGGGTCTTTCATGAAGTAATACCAGGAAACTTAGTCCATGGGAACTACCCCTGCCCCCAAGATGAGCCAATGAAATGCCTGTTACTTATGTAACCATTAAAACTCTATAAATATTGTACTCCCTGCAAGCCTGGTATGCTCTGCACCTGAGTTGCAGTAGCATCCACAGGCGCCTGTGTACTCAATAAATCACCTCTTGCATTTGCAGCCAGTGGTCTGGCCCCGGTTCTTGGGCAGAGGGTTCGGTTCAGTGCCCGGCGCTTTGATGCCGAGGTCTTACATTGGAGGTTCCCCCCAGATTTCTGCCCCAGAACCACCAGTGCCACCGGGAGGTAAGCTAGCCGGCACCCTATCTGCTTTGTTCTTTGTTATATGTATGTATGTTGATTTGTCTCCGCACAGGTTGGCTACGTAGTCATTCAGTAACTAGGGCAGCTTGAGAAGGGGCTGACGGACCCAGACTTCTCCCCCGCCACCCTGGCAGACGTGCCAGGGATCTGGAGAGCTCAATTGTTTGGCGCTCCTGGGCCTGAAAAGGGAAAAACGGGACCACTACTCCTGTTGACTCGTTTGAGTATTTACTTTCGGTTCTCCGCCGAAAGCGCGCAGCGTGTCTGGTCCTGAGTTGCTTAATTGTGTTATTTGTCTTGTTTGTCTACTTGTCTTTGTATTTTGAGTTTTCTGATTCAAACATGGGACAAACCATAACCACCCCTTTGAGCCTTACTTTAGATCACTGGAATGAAGTGCAGATTCATGCCTCTAACCAGTATAAACTGCACATCTGAGTGGCGAACCTTCGATGTGGGCTGGCCATGGGATAGGACCTTTAACCTAGAAATTATCTTACAGGTTTAGGATCGGGTCTTTGACAAGGGACCCCATGGACACCTGGACCAGATAGCATACATTGTTATTTGGGAAAATTTGGCTAAAGACCCCCGACATGGGCAGCCAGGTTTGTGACTCTCTGACCTCCTCTGAAGGCAGTCTTGGAGAAAGCTGTCGGCTCCTCCCCTCCCCCCTTCTTCACCCTTGGTCCCTGTCCTGGCTCCAGATCATCATCTACCCCCAGATGATGCGGTTCTCATAGAAATCTTACAAAGGGAAAACTACAAGTAACAAGTTTTACAAAGTTAATTTAAATTTGTTAATAGGTTTTCATGTTCAGGATAAATATTTTTTCAACCCTGGATAACTATCCTTACAACAGTCTGTTGATAAGATGACTTTCACATTAAGACAGCTGTTGCATGCCAATTTTTTTTTATAAACAATTCTTTTTATAAGTTGGTCCTATGGCTGAGGACTTTGGCCAAGCCTAGCTAGTCACTGGCCCATCTTATCCCTCTGTCTCTATTCTTGCCTGCCTATACACGTGGTGCAGGTCAGGGGTCTTCTCTTGCTGCCCTGAACACATGGCATGCTGGGCAAAAGTCTCTCCTGCCATGTGCCATGGTATAGAGCGTGCTGCGGCAGGGTCTCCTATCCCTGGGCATGCAGTGAGGCAGCTGCTCTGTTCTCCAGCTGCTGCTGCAGCCCTCACAGCTGAGCCTGCTCCGTCCTCACCTGCCTGCCTTTGAGGTGTGCAGGATGTGAGGATGGGGGTCTCTCTCTCTCTCTCTCTCGCTCTCTCTCTCTCTCTCTCTCTGCCTCACGCACATGGCGTGCTGGCAAAGGAGCCATCTGCCAGCTTTTCCCTCCACCAGAGCTCCCTGCTCAAACACACAGGGCTGGAGCAGGTAAGCCATTTGGCCAGAAACTAAATGGCTTTAAAGTTATAACTACAAGAGAAAAAAAATGTAAACTGTTTACTATGATGTTTCATTTCTACAAATGCTAAATTTTAAAAATTGATCTCTCAAAAATTATGTATACTTGTTTTGTTAAAAAGTTCTATCTATATTTTCTGTCATAATGTAAGTTTTATTACAAGCAGATCGCCACCGTTTTACATGCCAAGCTGGCCACATGGCTGGCTGGTAGCCATTTTACTAAAGTTAAAAGAGATACCTGATCCACCATCTTAAAGGTGACCACATGGAAGTTATGAGGTACCATCCTATCAACAAGTTTTTATTCAGATTTAAAATGTTAATGCTTTTATACACAGGAATGCTAAGTTTTATAATTTAATAGTCACCCAGATAATAATGGTTTTAAAGGCCTAAAAAGTATTTTAATTTTCAACATTAAAAAAACATTAAGGGATTTAAAAACAGTTTTTAAAATGTTTTCAATTTATAAGGTTATAAAATATTTATACTGTTAAAATGTTTAAAGCTAGACCTGACAATATAAAGTTCTAGTTTTATAAAGGTTAATAAAGTTTATACTTTCAACAGTTAAACTTAAGGCAGACAAACCGCTAATACTTCAGAGACCTGCAGAACATGGCATTTAAAATGTTAATTTAAAAGTTTATAATATCAGACAGACTGCCAGATCCTAACAGTGACCCAAAGTCTCCAAAGAAGATTACGAGGCACCCTGGTCCCTACACCTGGATTGTGTTGACTCTGACCAGTGAGCAAGATGCTCAAAGGTGACACCTACTGCTGCCAGGACCTGGCCCAGAATGTGGACAAAGCTGCTGGACACTGGAAAATTGATTGCACCCCTTTTGCCGAGAAAAACAAGGTCAGTCTTTTCCATGTCCCTCTTCCACAGAGAGAAAGAAAACTCACCTTACAGGCCTGGTAAAGATTGATGCTGTTCCTGATACTTGTGCCTCCAGTGCTAATAGAGGAGACTTGGGTATGGCTGTATATGGACTGGTACCTGGCACTTTTTAATAGATTCAGAGATTGTATAAAATTTATCCTTCTCAGATCTCTAAAAGTATTAATGGTTGTCCACAAGACTATAGTCAGCTTGGTAGTTCATTTTATTTATGTAAAAATCAAGCCTTAATATGTCTCAATAAGAACCAATACTTGTTCAATCACAAGCTCAAGGTTTTTAGGCTTATTTTGGTTATCATCAAAGTATAAACTTAAAGGGCTTCTCATCAGGCCAAAGATACCTCTGTCCAATTCATACCTGGACAGAAGACAAATGTACACTACTATCCCAAATCTGTAGTTTCTGCTAGGACAAAATACAGATATCCAGATATCTGCCTTTTCTACAATGTAGATTTCATTACCAGTTGATAATGCTAATGTACCTATAACCTTTATGTCCTTTTG